AATGAACGGAGGTAATCCGATAATCCTTCTCATAGATTCTATTATGTGATTAACCTAGATGTTTAAAGATCTTAGGGTTCATGTAAATTATCACTTACATGTGGTATCAGAGCATGGTTGTAAAACATCTGTTTAATCCGTTAAGAATGATAGATCTATGATTTGATTTAAGTAATGGAACAATAGAGATCTGCGAACTAGGTTGCTGGCTTATATGAATTTCTGTTAGAAAAATCGCCTGTGCAAATTTAGAGTTTCTGCGAGTTTGTAACTTTTCGTAGATCTGTCACTGTGCGATTTTCGGGTTTCTGCGAACTATAGTTTTTCATATAGATCTGTTACTGTGCAAAATTCGTGCGTTTATGAATTTATGTTTCCGCAATTATGGTTTCGTGCGAATTTTGTCTGTGCGAAATTAGGGTTTTCGCATATTATTTTCTGTAGATCTGTTTCGTGCATAATCGGTGCGAATTTTTATATGAACATATTCTGTGCATAATTTGTACAGATTAGTTTTATGTATAACTCGTACAGATTATTCTGTGCATAATTCGTACAGAAACGATTTATACATAATTCTTACATAAACGATTTGTGCATAATTTGTACAGAACATATGTTTCATATAAAGTGCAAAGTTAGGGTTTGGATTGCACCACAGTGGATTCATCCTATAATGATTTGCATATTCGATCTATTCATGTAGTAATTAGTTACCCACAGGTAGACTATAAACATGAGATATGATTGATAACTTATGGAGTGCTTGTATATGTGTAGACTTAGAATATCCACATATAATTTTGTCTAAATAATTGAATACATCACTCAATAATGCTTTTATGAATCTATGACTTTCTTTGAGTTGGTGATTTCCCACAGGAACACTATAGTTTCTTGTCATATGCATTCAATTATTATGTGTTGATTATGTTCTAGAGTCCTAATTAGGACTTGTCATATCTCAATTGCAGCTTTTCCTGCGAATTTATCATCCATGGTCTCTGCTGTTCCAATCTTTACGGGAACCAACTTCTCAGAATGGAAAGAGAAAGTTGAGTTCACATTAGGAGTACTGGATTTGGATTTGGCACTTCGTGAAAACGAGCCAGATCCACTTACTGCTACCAGTACTGAGGAACAAAAGACTCTCCATAAAGCTTGGGAGAAAGCGAAAAGATTGAGCATTATGTTCTTAAGGATGACAATAGCAAGCAACATTAAGACTTCCCTACCAGTTGCAAATAAAGCTAAGGCTTATCTGGCAGCTATAGAAGAACGGTTTAAGACTGTAGACAAATCCCTAGCAGAGAAACTTATGGCAGATCTTACAACCATGAAGCATGATGGGGCAAGGTCTATGCATGAACATTGCATTGAAATGACCAACCTTGCCGCTAAGCTGAAGAATTTAGGAATGAGTGTGGACGATTCTTTTCTTGTCCAGTTTATCCTAAATTCACTACCTCCTCAATATGGACCATTTCAAATCAATTATAATGCGATTGATGAGAGATGGACCTCTAATGAATTGGCCAATAAATTTGTTTAAGAGGAGGCTAGGCTTGGTCGTGAAGGTATTAAGTTTGCCCATTATGTCCAAGGAGCTGGACCTAAAGCTGGGAAAAGGCATCAAATGAGTCATAAAAGAGCACCACCCAGAATGAATGATTCCAATCAAGGTGAGAAGAAAAAGGCAAAGAAAGATGACTCATGCAGATTTTGCAAAAAGTCTGGTCACTTTCAGAAGGAATACCCTAAAAGAAAAGAATGGTTCGAAAAGAAAGATAATCCTATGGGTTTCGTAAGCTTTTTTGAAACCAATCTTACTCATGTTTCTTCTGATACTTGGTGGATTGATAGCGGTGCTAATGTACATGTTACAAATTCCTTGCAGGGATTCCTTACGACCCAGACCATAAATCCAAGTAGTAACTACTTATTTATGGGAAACCGAGATAAAGCGCCAGTTGAAGCTACTGGCACTTATCGTCTCATTTTGGATAGTGGATTTTGTTTGGATTTATTTCAGAAATGTTCCATCTATTTTTCGTAATTTAGTTTCAGTAAGCAAACTTGATTTATCTGGTTTTAAGTCATCTCAAGGAGATGGTTGTTTCAATTTGTTTCTGAACTCGAATCGAATTGGTTCTGGAATATTAGTTGATGGTCTTTATCGATTAAATTTGGCTGATCAATCTTTTGAAACACATCTCACCCTACAAGATAAACGTGGACTTAAGCGTAAAACATGTACAACTGACTCGTACAACTTGTGGCATAAAANGCTNGGACACATTTCCAGTGAAANAATTAAAAGGTTGGTAAAAGATGGANTCATTCCGAATCTTGATTTTACTAATCATAAAGAGTGCATAGAT